ATTTGTTATTCCTTTTTTCAAACTACTTATTTGAAGATTTTTTTGAAGTTTATTGGCTAGATTTCTTGATTTGTGCTTGGATCATAGACAATCTGTAAGTTGAAATCCAGATTTTTTTTGTTTGAAATCACTTTTTTGAAATCAAGGCCAGGTGCCACTTCATTACATTTTTATCACACTGAGGCTCTTAACTATGGTGGTGCTTCACATTAAGAGATTTCCTTCAAATATGGATTTCACAATCAAACAAGTATTGGAGATTCTTACTGAAGTAATTTCTGGATGTTTCCAAATAAAGTTGCCAATAAAAGAATTAGCAAGATCAAGATATGAGAATAAATATCATAGTCATCATGAATGCAAGCAAGACTTAGGGACACTATTGGTCCTTGCTGAAGAAATTCAGTTTTGAAGCAATGAGAGGAAGAGGAGTTAAGCACACTACTATTTGGGTTATAGAAATGACACATGCTGATACCAATGTGTATTTCTGGTGTTATTGTTGAGCATGTCTTGTAAGACAACCTCTTTTGTAAAAAAATAATGGTCTCTTAAGAGAGGTTGTCTCTTGTAGCAGTGGTCTTTCAAGACAGTTTTTCTTGTACTATATTTAGTTGGTTTTGCAAAAAAGACAGGGATAATTCTGCTGCACTAAATAGATCTGCTTTATTTTGAAGTATCCTATTTTAAAGTTTTTCCTCATTCAGAAAAGAACCATTTTACTTTTTCTTAACAGAAGTCTTTTTAATTGGTAAAGAAGCTAGACAATTCTCTTAGTACATTTTTTAATAATAAGTTGAGAGCCAATTACTTGGGTGAAATTTGCTCTCTTCTGCCAGAGTATTGAGAAGTGGGTGTCAAAATTTAAAATAATCCATTTATCCTGATGTTTTTGAATATTTCCATGTCACATTATTAAAATTATGATGAAATGTTTAATAAAAAAATATTAGACTTTTTATTTTGATTCAGCATGGTTGTTGTATAACATAAAATGGCAACCTTAAAAAAAGGTGGCAGTGGAAAATTGCTATCATCTTCCACAGTGGATGATAAAATTAGTCCTTGTTTTAAGTAAAGGAATTGGATACCTCCACTTAATCATAATTTACTTTAGATTAGGCAACACAAATTCTAGTCACTTGTTTTCAAAGATTGTGTGTGAATTTTTAGCAGGAATTCCATGAAATGTCTGGTATTTATGACCATCCAGTTAGCCCCAAGACTGGACACAGAACTTTTTCTTTCATTCTGCCTTTCTCATTGAAGGCAAAATGGTCTTTAAAGTTAAAATGTTAAAGTTAAATCTTTGTAATGTCTGTTTTGATAAATTACCTCATAGAATAAAGCCAGTATCTTAAGTATTTGTATTCACTAACATATGTCCATTGTTGAAAAGTTTACAAGAAAGCATAAATTTCTCCATTTTCATGATAACAAATATAGATGTATTCCTTCCTTTATATTTTTTGTCAAGCTGTTTAGTTGACAGCAATGGTGAATACACTTTTGTTTGTAATTTTAATTGCTTAAATGCAATACTTTGTCTGAGATTCATCTTCCATGATATGTATGGTCTTGTTTGAAATGTTAAATTATTTTTTTATATACTTTACTTCTAAGGAACATAATTATATTTTTGGTATGCTTTTTTCATGCTTTTTTTAATTAAAAATGGGGTTTAGTTTTTAAAACTGTTCAGTTTTCCAGATTTTTTTGTCTGGTAAGTATATTAAATGTTGCTCTCCTTTAAAAGATAACTTAATTCAGTGTGAAAGAAACTAGTGATGACTTGTGATCATTGGGCATCTGTAACAAACAAAAATAAGTTGTAGTATAAATTTATAATATGTTAAATGAATAATCAGATACATTCATTAAAACAATGCTCAATTTTTGTACCAAAGCAAATTTTGTTACTGTTATGGTGGACAGTTCTACAAAACAAGAACAAATTTATGTAACTAATTCTGGTTTTATAATTTTGTTAAACATGAGTTATAATGGGAGTCATCTGATTTTAGCAACAAAAATTACGAATAATGAGGGTTAGGAAGTTAGAAACAATAAGCCTTTTTGTTACAAGGTTTCCAAAATACTCATGATCAATATTCCATGCAGGAAAAGGAGGGGCCCATTTTGTTTTGGAATCATCCCCCCCCAGAGAGAGAGAGAGAGAGAGAGAGAGAAAGAGAGAGAGAGAGAGTTGTACATATTGATGTAAATACCTTACTAAACCAATGCATACAGTATACATGTACACATGGGTTGATAGGGTGATTAATTTCATGCAATCTCCAGGAAGTGGATCTGCACCATAAATTAGAAAACAACTTGTCCATTCCTCAGGCAATGCATGTCCATCATGAGTTGATGGGGTGTTTTAATCTCATGCAATCTCCATGGAAGTGGAAATATTCTGCACTATATGCCACATGAAAGTAGAAAACAGTTTGTCCATTCCTCAGGCAATGCATGTCCATCATGTTCATAACTGTTTACAGGAAAAATAACTTATGCAGGCTTATGTTAACAATTGTGCCACTTTTAAGGAATGCAACCATATGTCTTGCAAATGTTCTACATTATTTAGATGTGAAACACTGTGCTGAGCACATTCCAAGTCTTTTCTTTGTTTTTGGAAAGAGACAGGGAAGGTTCTGATTGATTCCACTCATTGCATTATCTTGCCTTTTAATGTTTTCTGGATAGCAAATACATGTATAAATAATTCATATTCATACCATTTATTAAATTTACATATATACTACACTGCATTAAGGTTAAGAGATTATCATTGCCCAGTTTGTTTTCATTTTAACTTTCACATACTTCTTAAATGGGTTTGGCATGGAAAATTTTGGCATTGTTGAGTAACTGAACAGGACATATTTATTGTAAATGGTCCAGTTCACAGTCTTGGAGCTACAACATTAATCGTCTACTTGGAATAACCTGGTAGGAGGCAATTTCCTGATTTCCTTGTCTCAGTGTCAGTCTTAATATTATAATAAATTATACCATTCCTCTGAGATTTTCTTACCATGCTGCTCATTTCCATAATAGATTTTATTGACACATATATATCTGTTGTGTCAGACATAAAGTATATGTACATTTACCTTAGTGGCCTAGTTTCAGTGTTGTCATTCATGGTGTAAGAATAAATCAGAATCCTCATAGATTTATAGGACAAGTCAAATGACCAAGGCATTGAACAGTTATGCTTTTCTTTAAATGAGTATAATGAATTGTTGTTTTATATTCTTTTAACAGGTGTCAATCAGATTACAAGGACCACCAAAGTCTTTGCCAATGGCTGAAACATACCTGTTTTTTCCTTACCTATATTTTATCTATCAGATCAGTTGATAGCCAGAAATTGTCCTGTGTTTCTCATTTCTGAGAAAATAAATTGTGATAGCAGATCTAGATAAGTTCAGTGCCCTTTCCCCCCATTTAAAATGAATTTGATCTATATATCTGACCTTGAGCATCCTTGCAAAAAACTTTGTAAACTCATTTTATCCAAAATATATAAGATTACCTCATCTGACAACTATTTCTTGTAAGGTGATTATAATGCACATTTTGTTATTAAACTGCAAACATTGACCAAATGCTTCAAATGTAATATTGCATATTGAAGTCTATCCTCTATATAATCAATTAAAACAGTCAAAGCCACTTGATTGTCATTTATTATGTTCTTAAAAGAAATGGACACTTGTCAGTAAACTGTCTTTCAATAAAAAAAATTTCACTGTCTTGGTGGATTGAAATCAAAGTGTGATTTGCTCAAAGAAATTTGTTTGGGAAAGCACAAGGTCATTTAAAATGCAGTTAAGTAATCCTACCAGATTTGTTTGAAATGTTTTGATAATTTGGTCACTTTGCCCCTGTATGGTAATAATGGGACAGTTATCAGAGACCACCCACTGGGAATGAACAAATGAATATAGGTTATAGCATTCCAAATGCCTGGAGGGAATAATTGGCCTGACAAAGGTAGATAAAGTGATTAAACTTTGAAAATAATTGACCAAACCATTTATTCTTTGGTAATGATCATAGGATACCATCACCAGTATGCTGGTTTTATTGCTAATGAAAATAAGTTTTAGCATGAAAATTGGTGAACAAGAATATCAGTGATTTCACAGGAAATCATTTGTTTTGGCACTCAGAAAAGGAGATTTAATTGTATCATTAGTTTCATGAAAAAAGTATTAGGGACTTTTTTTTACACTATGAATACAATTGAAAGGAATAAAAGGTGGATTTCATACTTTCATGGATTGTAAAAAGTATATTTGCTCTGCCACTATTTTCAAGGACACTATTCTGCATCCATTCATGATGCAACTGTAGGTCCACCTGTCTACAAACCTGATAAAATTATGTACTTTTTGAATAGTGAAACAGGTAATAAGACAAAAGGATAAGGAAAGTATGGAATACATTTAAGAGGTAAACTGCCACACAATGCTTTAAAATTGTCAAATGGAGCCAAACACTAGCCAAGTGTGTCACTTTTTGTTAATTTGCTTGCTTGTGCTATTGTTTACACATTAGTTTAAAGTTACAGTTTTTATACAGGTGAAGGACAGGTAAATTTCTCCAGTGTGGCAATACAAATCAATTCACATGAGCTTTAAGTTTTTACCCTTCATTTGAATAGTTATTACATACAGCCCAGATGAAAAGAGGCATAATGGTGTGCATGCATGGTTTATGTAAATTAAACCCTATAAATATATAAATTATACCATATAAATATAAATTATACCATATAATGCATGCAGTTCATTCCAGTAGCTACAATGTTTATATTTCGATTAGATCGGGTCCCATATGTGTATTCCAATGGAAGGAGAAACCAATACTGTATTTGCTTGCCTTTATCTTCATGGTATGTAAATAAGGGGTACATAAAATATTATTGTTAACAAAAAGGGAACAGAAATCAGATCCTTGTTTTCTACAAGTTGATATGGACTGCTCTGGTGGCATAATTGGTTAGAGTGCCTGCCTTGGATGCAGGAGGTTGAAGGTTCAAGTCTGGCAGAGGCGACCAAAGACTTATAAAACTGGTAATAGCAGCTGCCTTGCTTGGTGCTCCTCATTGAGTGCTAACTGTTGGGACTGTTTGACCTGGTGTCAGGAAAATGTGACTGAGTAGGTCATGATGCTGCATATCTATGGTATGATGTTCAGTCTTAGACATCATTATAAACTACCACACTTTGAACATCAGTGATGTAACTGAAAAAATTGGTAAAGCCACAGTAAAAAATAAAACTCATTCATTTCTAGTTTAAATGCCTTATATATTTGGCAGACATGAGGAATATCTGATACTTGTATTAATTTTATTAAAATAAATAAAGTTTTTATCTTTTTAAGACTAAAATATGCTAGTTTCTAATCATTCACATAATTAGCATTCCATTTGCCTGCTGACATAAAAAGCAAATTATCTGTGTGGGTCTAATTACTGTAGGTTTTTACCCAACAGATGCTCCTCCACAATTAGATGCCTTTCCACATGGCAGGAAATGTTGGGCAGATCTTGTCACCCATCTTTAGGGCAGAAAATATGAGGCAAGACCAATTTTTACTAAATGTTTTTACTTTTCAGTAGAGCATGCTTTCACTGTAGTGAAAAAGCACAATGAAGCCACAAGATACCCTCAGTGTTTTGAATAACATCTGTAGTGTAAAGGCTCATCCAACCACAAGATACCCTCTGTGTTTTTAATGACATTTGACATCTTTTTTTCTGGAATGTAAATGAATATCCCTTTGACTGCATTTTGTATCAAAGTTCTGTTGATGTATAAATTTTAGTATTTTGAAGTGAAGCAGGTAAGTTTTCTTTGTAGAGAGTTATCTACCTTATGTACTCACTTATATGTGGAGTGAAACTGCAAACAACAATGATCCTGATCTGCTGAGGTATAATGCTCCTGCAGTTCAGGGTCTATTTTGTTTATTATAATGTCTACTGTGTGACAGAAGAAATGGGTCTGCATAGTTTACAGTTGGGATCATTTTATAAGCAAGTACATAGGATACTTTTATAAGCAAGTACATAGGATACTTTTATAAGCAAGTACATAGGATACTTTTATAAGCAAGTACATAGGATACTTTTATAAGCAAGTACATAGGATACTTTTATAAGCAAGTACATAGGATACTTTTATAAGCAAGTACATAGGATACTTTTATAAGCAAGTACATAGGATACTTTTATAAGCAAGTACATAGGATACTTTCAAATATTTTATTTGTAAAGAATTTTATTGTGCTTAATATGCAGATATTGACACAGTAAAGAACTAGGAATGTTTAAGAATGTAGAAATGTCACCAATGTGGAGCACCTTAATTTTTTCACATCATTTTGTATATACAGTACATGTTGTACTTAACAGACAGAAGGCATCAAAGTAGATTAGTTCTACAACTAATTGAGTTACCTTCTCTGAATCTTTATTATTATTATTATTGTTATTATTGTTATTATTATTATTATTATTATTATTATTATTATTATTATTATTATTATTATTATTATTATTATTATTATTATTATTATTAACTCATTAGGGCCAGAGATTTTGTCAATTTTGCCAGAAATGTGAGTAGGAAGCACATTTTTTGCAGGTTACTTTTGAATATATCCAGATACATCACCTTGCAAAAGATTTTCATTTGCTGTATGCCTAATTATGTTTTTTATTATTTCACTTGCACATGTGCAGAAGGGTAAAAGTTGTAGTTAAAAAATTTTATTATTGAATCATTTTCATTTTGTTGCCACTTTAATCCAAATCTTAAACTTGATCCTACTTTTTGGAAAAGTTTTTTGTGTGCTGTTCAGACCAGTCTGCCTTTATATCATGGGACAAAAACTCCTAAATTAGGGACACCTTATAAGCATGAAATCTGCCTGAATTGATACACCCATATTAAGGACTCAAACTTTAAAAAAACCATTGATAAACCCCCTTTTTTATGTAATTATTATAATGTTATCCATTGGACTCATGTTATAATAAAAGGCCTTATAATCCATGACCCTTAAATTTCCATACTGTTGCTCTACCGACTTGGGACCTGGAGAGTGGTCTAAAGCACTGTCCATTACGTATCACTGCCATCTCACCTCTGTTTGTGTGTTTGAGTCTAGGATTTGTCGAATGTGGATATGTGAGAAAGCTTGCCAGTAGCTTCTTGTGGCTTGGTGTTTCTTTCTGGGGATTTCCCGTTTTTTTTCTCCACTATTAATACTGGCCGCCATGTATAGCTTATTGTGTGCTGAAAAATGGTGTTAAGCCCCATAACAACAACTCTGCTAACTCATCCTTGAAAAAACCAGCAGCAGATAACATTGCAAAATAAACACTTGAGACTTGAGATCACATGAGAGTTGAAATGACCATCAGAAATAATAATACAGCAACAGGTGGCAGTCAGAATGAACCATGGCACACAGTACTAATGGTATGGAAACATGGGAATCAGCCTGGAAATGGGTGAACATTAAATAGAGTATGTATGGGCCTGGCTGGCCAGGATTGGTTACTAATGTAAGTTATGCTGTAGGAAAAAGAATCTTTTAGAGTTTAACCTAGTTGTAAGTGAAAAAAATAGAGACATTGTTTTATTGATGGAATTCCAGACCGTTAACAGTCTTGAGTTTTGAATACTCAGTAACAGTACTAAAATTAGCATCTGACTCTTTGGTGGGAATTGAAAGCACATGGTTCAAACATATGCAGTTCCAGAAAATGCAGTGGCTCATATCTTTTGCTTTACACAAAAGCTGACTTCCTAAGTTTCATCTATACTAATAAGTATAGGTTTTGATCATGGGCACTCAGAAAATTTAAGTTAGTAAGTTAGTGAATTTGTAATATTGTGTTTGCATAGGTTTACTATAGGAACTGAATTAGTACCTTGATTTCTGAAGTGACTGTTGGAAATGTGACTGTGGCAGTCTGAATGAACACTGGCATGAGACTTGGAGTGACTGTCAGCACAGCATTGGGTGATGACTGAGGCAGGTATAGCTCATCAACAGATGACTGATGTTAAGGAGGATTATTAATAGTTAGGTATGCTTGATTGGATTGTTAATCAGCTCTTTCTACATTTTTGTGTTTATCTAATTGTTTTAGCTTGGTGTAGCAGGTAAAAAAAACTCTTTGATAGAAGTTTATAAGCTTTGTCTTGATCTTTTTTCCTACCTGAAAAACTTTTCACACACTTTACCTGTGCTTGGAGACGAGACAAATATAGTCTCCACCAGAACCAAAATATAGCTTGAACATTCTTGTTTATCTTAGAGCAGTGATCATTAGACATATGGCTTGAGGCCTTTCTTTCTATCTAGCCTTTCTGTCTGTTTATCCTTTCTATCTGTCTAACCTTTCTGTCTATTTAACCTTTCTGTCTGTTTAACCTTTCATTCATCTTCTGTCTAACCTTTCTGTCTGTTTAAACTCTCTGGCTGTTTAACTTTTCTGTCTGTCTAACCTTTCAGTCTGCTTAACCTTTCTGTCTTTAAACTTTCTATCTGTTTAAACTTTCTGGCTGTTTAACATTTCTGTCTGTCTAACCTTTCAGTCTGTTTAACCTTTCTGTCTTTAAAATTTCTGTCTAACCTTTCTGTCTGTTTAATCTTTCTGTCTGTTTAACCTTTCTGTCTGTTTAACCTTTCTGTCTAACCTTTCTGTCTATTTAAACTTTCTGTCTGTCTAACCTTTCTGTCTGTTTAAACTTTCTGTCTGTTTAAACTTTCTGTCTGTCTAACCTTTCTGTCTGTTTAAACTTTCTGTCTGTCTAACCTTTCTGTCTAACCTTTCTGTCTGTTTAAACTTTCTGTCCGTCTAACCTTTCTGTCTGTTTAACCTTTCTGTCTGTTTAACCTTTCTGTCTGTTTAACCTTTCTGTCTGTTTTCTTTCAGACAGTAATGGTCTGAAAATATCAACTAGTCCTTGAATTTCATCAGTTCCATGGGTAGCATAAAGCTTCCTCTTGCATAGGTCACTCAGAATGTTCCAATAGCAAAAAGTGACCCACAGGAGGTTCTTAACAAGGATTCAGATCTGCTGATAGAATCCATTGTATTGGCGAGGAAACACACACAAGTTAGTTAAGAGTTCATAGCAGACTTTGTCTCATTTGAGTAAATTATTGTCCAGAAGTTGTACGAAATTTCATGCTCGTGTAATTCAAGCAACTCAAGCAACATACAGTATAAGCTTCGTTTATATACCTAGGTATTTTGTAAGATATTATGATTGAGGCTCACAGACAGACAGTTGTAGTCGAGTTATACACAGTCATAGAGTTGTAAAGTCAGTTATTGTAACATCTTAAGAATTATACAACTTATATTACCTTAAAAAAAGGAATTTTTTGTGCTAGAAGAAGTTGTCTGTTCATATATCAACGTAGAACAACAGGTTTTGTTAGAGGAGCTAATTTTAATTTGTTTCTTCTGAATAATTGTTTTCCTGGAGAGCAACATTACTGATTTGGACAAAGACATTTTCCTGAAAATATTCTAAATTGGAACGGAACAACACAAACTGTAGATTATTGTGTAAATTCTGGAATTTTCTGTTAGCCTTCGTCTGACGTCATCCTCCATTTTGGACCAGAATTGAACTTCAGACTGTGTTTAGAACTTTTACAGGACTTTTGTTATTTTGAACAAACAATTTTGGATCATTTCTGTAAACCATAAGTCTTGTTTAACATATTTACATTTTTCATGTTTTCTAGGAAAATAAATTATTTTTGTTAAAATTTACAAAGCTTATTGTCTTCACCCTTTCTTTTATGTTACTTTTAATGAGCCGATATGTGACCATCTATATGGGTAAAATCTGTAAATTAGGCAAATGAGCTTACCATATATATTCATTTAGTCCAGCTGCCAGCAACATAGATCTGCCATTGCATAATATGCCTGCAGATCAGGGTCTATGCTTATTCTACTGATTACTCCAAACAAAGTACACAGATCCAGATCTGCCTCCACACTTTGTAATGGC